ATTTTACTACGAACTCTTGAATAGATAGAACAGAAAGGATAACTTTGAGGTGGTTTCGTATCCTACCATAATCTCTTCGTTTGTTCTCCGCTATTAGTGACTTTGGAGTGACTTTTTGTTGCATGTTGAGGGATTGTTATATGATATATCTATGTTATTATTGTTGAGAGAACTTGCACTAGTGAAAGTATGAACCCTAGGCCTTGTTCCCTATCATTGCAATACCGTTTACGCTCACTTTTATCATTAGTTACCTTGCTGTTTTTATTATTTCAGATTACAAAAACCTATATCTACTATCCATATTGCACTTGTATCACCATCTCTTCACCGAACTAGTGCACCTATACAATTTACCATTGTATTGGGTGTGTTGGGGACACAAGAGACTCTTTGTTATTTGGTTGCAGGGTTGCTTGAGAGAGACCATTTTCATCCTACGCCTCCCACGGATTGATAAACCTTAGGTCATCCACTTGAGGGAAATTTGCTACTGTCCTACAAACATGTGCACTTGCAGGCCCAACAACGTCTACAAGAAGAAGATTGTGTAGTAGACATCAGACGCCCGCGCTGACACTTCTGGGATCTCTCCGAACGAGTGGATGCTGAGATATGATCTCGAGGACCAGCTCTCGGTCATCTACTCGGACGAGGAGGCATACTGGCGGTTGCGCGGCACCCAACGGTGGGTGCTCCGTGGGGACGCTAACACGGCTTACTTCTAGGCGATCGCCAATGGCCTGCGTCGATGGAACTCCATTCACTCCTTGTGGGACGGCGATACTCAGCTTGTTCGCCCCTCGGACATCCGAACCCATGTAGACAGCTTCTATAAAGCCCTTTTCTCCCCTATCCCTCGGGGTGGGGCTGCGCTGGCCCCCGATACCTGGTCGGGTGCCCAGCTAGTTTCCGACGAGGCCAATGCTGCCTTGGTGGCACCTTTCTCGAAGGATGAGGTCCTAGCGGCAATCAAAGGAATGAACCCTCCTCGGCTCCGGGCCCGGATGGATTGCCAGTCTCGTTTTTCAAAACGTTCTGGCAAACCATCAAACCGGAAGTCATGGCCCTCTTCGACGAGTTCTTCTCTGGGACCATGGACCTTGGGCGCCTAAACTATGGGATCATTACCCTCATCCCCAAGGTCCCGGGCGCCTCGGACATTCGCCAATTCTGCCCGATCATGGTGATCAACGTGATCTTCAGGATCTTGGCTAAAGGTTACGCCAATAGGGTGACCCTTCTAGCGGACTCTGTCACCCACCCCAACCAATCCGCCTTCATCCAAGGCCGGTTTATTTTGGATGGGGTGCTGGTCTTTCACGAAGTCCTCCATGAAGTCCGATCCAAGAACCACTGCGCGGTCTTCCTAAAGCTCGACTTTCACAAAGCCTACGACACTGTCCATTGGCCCTTCCTTCGGGAAGTTTTGCTTCGAAAGGGTTTATGACCGCTGGGTGACCCGTGTTATGTAACTCGTCACCTGCGGTCGGACGGCGGTCAACATCAACGGTGAGATCGGTCCTTACTTCCCCACCTTATGTGGGGTTCGCCAGGGTGACGTGTTCTCCCCATTTCTGTTCAACATGGTTGTCAATGCCCTCGCGGTCATCCTTGATAAGGCCAAAGCTTGTGGCCATATCCGCAGCGTAGTCCCCCACCTAGTGGGTGGGGGAGGGTCTCCCTCCTCCAATATGCGGATGACACCATAGTTATGGTGGAGGGCTCCGCGTCCGACATCGCCAACCTGAAGTTCCTCCTCTTGTGTTTCCAACAGATGTCTGGGCTCACCATCAACTTCGATAAGAGCAAAGTGATGGTTCTTGGCTATCCTCTGGAGGAGGCTTTGTCCATTGCGGACTGGCTGAACTGCCGCCTGGGTTCCTTCCCCACGACTTACTTGGGGATACCCATTAGTGACTCCAGGCTCACCGTTGTTGATCTCCGCCCGACGGTGACTAGGATGCAGCACCGGGTTGAACCCTGGAGGGGGTGGTGGCTGTCGAAAGCAGCCAGGGTAATCCTAATCAACTCTTCGCTTGCTAGCCTTCTCTGGTTTCTCATGAGCTTCTACGGCCTCCATGAGACCCTCCATCAGGAGGTTGCCAAATACCAGTCGAGGTTTTCTTGGGCTGGTGAGGGCGACAAACAGAAGTATCATATGGTGAGCTGGCCCGACATTTGCAAACCCAAAGACCAGGGTGGCCTTGGGATCTTGTCATCTCGACGCATGAACATTGCTCTCCTGACCCGTTGGCTGTGGCGTATCGCCAATGGGAAGGGAGGCCTCTGGCTTACCATCATCCGTAATAAGTACCTTTGGGGCCAACCTCTTGCGTTTTGCCAGCGTACGGGTGGATCCCAGTTCTGGCAGTCCGTGATCCAGCTTCTGCCCGTCCTCCGCATCGGCACGTCCATCTCAGTTGGCTCCGGGTCCTCGACCCTGTTCTGGTTCGACCGTTGGTTAGGGGACTCCCCCCTGGCTGCGCGATTCCCAGAACTCTTTCCCATTGCGGCCGACCCTCGGGTCTCTGTCGAGACGGCCCTTATTGACTTAGGGCGTCTCGCTTTCCGGCACCCCTTCGGCCCCCTCGAGGTGGCTGCTTGGGACTCCCTCCTCCAAGACATCGCCCTTATGCCGATGAACGTCGAGGAGGACCAGGATGAGCCGTCTGGCCGCTTTTCCATGAAGTCCTTGTATGCCGCCATTGCGCCCTTGGCGGCCCCGGAACCCTTTAGCCTGATCTGGAACATCCGCCTACCTCTGAAGATCAGGATTTTCCTGTGTGGACGCCTCCCCTCTGGGGTTGAAGTCCTCAAGCGTAACGGCCCAGGCGATGGGATGTGTCCCATCTGTGTCACGATCGAGGACGCTAACCACATCTTCTTCTCGTGCTCTACTGCCCAGTTCCTGTGGGCTTGCTTCCGCGAAACGGTCGGTGGACAGTGGTGCAATACCAACTTCCCCGATTTACTTGCAGAGCTCAACGCTTCCCCTACCCGATACCGCCATATTAGATGGTTGTGCATTGGGCTTCTCACCTGGACGCTTTGGAACATTCGCAATAAGCTTGTTATTCGGAAGGTGCCTCTCCGCCGTGCGACTGACGCAATCTTCAAAATGTGTGGTTACTTGCAGCTTTGGCAGCCGCTTAGCCGCCCCCAGGACAGGGACGTCATCACCACCCTCCTCACCGACCTCCGCTCGATGGCTCTCCGCGTGGCACCCCCGCTGCCCCCCCCCCCCAGAGCCGGACTAGGCCGTCTAGTGGATCTGTGGAGTGTGTGTTTTTGTGCTTAGGGCTTGTTGTGTTGTGCCCTCAGCATTGACCCTTATGACTTCTTTGTGTTCTTGTGGACCTCCGTGTGCGTGTGTGTTTGTGCTTTGTTCAACCTTTTTGGATGTTTGGTTTGGACGGTTTGCTTTATAATATAAAGCGGGGCGAAAGCCTTTTTCGGTAAATACAAATGTTTGAATCACGGTCTCGCGCCTTGAAATGTCGCAGTCCACGCCCTTCATGCAGAAAGTAAACACTCGCCGTCGCCAACGGAACAACCGGGAAGCTCATCGCAGAGGACGAGTGTGTGCGCGCATCGCGCCCCCACCCTACCAGAATGGTGGCACCGGCGTGCCTGGGTTACAAGGGGGAATGAACCAGCCAAGTAGAAAAGCGGGGTCTAAGAGCATCTCCAGCCGTTCGGCCCCCCAGGGCGCCGAAAAAGAGCGGCCTGGGGGCGAACCGGCGCTAGATTGGCCCCTGGGGTTCGGTTCGCTCCCAGTCATAGGCCCATGGTCACCGCGGGTTCGGCGAAGTTCGTTTCATTTTTTTGCAAACTCAGCGATTTTTTGCAGAAACTCGGCCATACTTCATCGAAATTTATACAAAAACGTAAAAACATGCAAGAACTACGCCTAACTTAAAAAACAAACTAAAAGCCTAGCTGTCACCGCCGTCGTCTACATGCCGAGAAGCCTGTAGAAGCGGGTGTAGTCGCCGCTACCGCCGCCGCCGTCTTCGTCGTCATCGCGCGCCCTGCCTGCGGCGTCCCTGCTGCAGCCCTGGCCGGGGTCGCCGACACGTGGTGGGGCGCTTGACGGCCCAGCCTCACCCTCATCGCCGTTGTCGATGACGATAACGCCGCCCTCCTCGGCGCGGCTACGGGGCTGGGTCTCCAGGTACGCCCGGCGCTGGCGGCGCACCCGCTTGCGGACATAGTCCTCCTTCGCCCATTTGAGGGCGGATTTGTCGTCAGGGGCCATCATGTCAACGTGCTCCGGCTTCACGGGGAGCAAGCCCGGCTCAGGCTTCGGCCGGACCAGGCACAGGGAGCGCCTCGCCGGTGCCGTCGCGGGTGGTGAGAGCTCTTTGATGATGAGGGCACCGCCCGTGAGGCATCAATGGAGGCTGACCGGCGCAGCAATGCGGCAGCCTTGGAATTGATTCCTGCGGGAACCGAGGCGATGAAGCGGCCGTCTCGCTAACTCAGTGGGCCCACGGCTGTTTCGCGCCAAAACACTCGCCCTGGCTCCCCCCAGCCCGTCGGGTTCGGCCTGAATCCACCGGCGCTGATTTCAGCCCAAGCCGGCGAAAAACGGGCTCCTGGGGCGCGACTGAGCCGTTTTTTCGGCGCCGGCACGGAAAAATCGCCTGGGAAGGCCATGTTAGGGGCACGGCTGAAGATGCTCTAAGACAGCGTTTGGCTGGTACTACCAAAACATACAGTCAAGGAGGCGTTCGGTTGCAAAATCACGCGTGCCAGTGCCACAATCTTCAGAAGCAGGAGCGAGCAAGTACTACCTCTGTACCTTCTTCAGAGAAAGGCGAATATGCAGACAGACTACCACAGGCAAGTAACTGCTGGGGCGTAGCGTCGGATCAATCGTCATGGCAAAGCCGTTCCATTCAATCTCTACTTAATCAGGCAGGGTTCGGGTGGGGATCTTTAGGTTAGGCGCGGCGATGAGGATAGGCGCGCGGTCAGTCGCTCGGTTCTGTGTGCTACAGCCTGTACCCGTGGTAAGCAGCAGAGTGATAGTGGCGGACGCTGCTGGACGATGACAGGTAGTCGCTGTACAGAGGCGGGGCGTACTCCGGACTCGCTGGAGCGCCGCACGGGTCGAACCGCGGCCTGACCGGGCCAGCGTCAGGGTTGCCGTAGCCGCTGCTCCTGGGTGGTAGAACTTTTCTGTCGCCCAGTAGGACCTCCTGCGTGCGAAAATGACGATAGGTCAGAAAACAGACATCCGGCATGCGGTTCATGATTGCGCCGATAAACAGACGCCCAGTGTAATCGACGCTGGTCTCCATGCAGACGCCCAGTGTAATCGACCCTGTGAAAACCGGAGGAGCAAGGGTTGTGCTGTGTAGTGTGCTTTACATTTTTACATAGGTGGGCTATCATGTCCTGGGTAGCTGCCTCCAGCAAGTTGGAACCTAGGCTAGTTATGAAATGGCCCAAATCACCGATGGTTAACAAAGGAAAATTACTACTCATAGAGAAGGAGCAACTGCGCACAAGTGGCTTTCTCAAGTTTTATCCCGCTCCGGACTCTTGGGGTGAAAGCGGCTATGCGCCATTTCCTCCTAGCTAATATCCTGCTGGTCTGATATCTAAGACAAATTTATCTTCTAATAAAGGTTGGCTGAAATCTCCAACCTTGTGTAAACTACACTTAAATTGTTGCAAGCAAAAAAAATGGACCTGGTATAACTGGTAGGTGGCAACTATCTGTGTATGCGTAGTAGGCTGGGCGCAAAAATAAATAAATAAAAAATTCAGATGGCATCCTAATCTCATTCAGAAAATGGATACTAAAGTAGGAACCCTTAGGGCATTGGTAATTAACCTGTATGAGTTGATGCGCAGTCTGAACTTGCGAAGAAGTGCCTTTGATTGAAACTAGAACCTCATCCAGATAATTTCCAGTTTCCTCGAGGACAACCACCGCTCCACTGACAGAACGTATATGAGCAATGGTCCGTCCCCTGACACCAATTATCTCTTCAGCTTGCAGCAAAGGGATCTGCATTGTCTGCGTAATCTGAAAACCAAAACATCCCATAAGAGCAACGTCTGTAGCAGCCTGATGTAAAATGACCATACCAAGTAACGTTGCGGGGGAAAAAAAGGGAAAATGAACAAAAGAAACCTGCTTGTACCAGGTGAAACTTGAGCACATTTTTACAAGCTAACTGACATAATATAGGTGCATAGCGTAACTAGGGGATAATAATAGTTATAGCAATAGACCTTCGGTATTAAGGGAACGGTTGGGTGTCTGATATCTGATGAATATGGGTCACAAACAGATGGGCCTCGTCCATACAACAAATATCTGCTGCCACTCATGTTGAGAGGACTTCGACTGTCAGATAACAAAAGGTCCTGGTTCACTGGAAGAGCATAACCATTGGTAACCGTAACCTGATTTTCTTCAGAACTATCCTGCACCTGAACCATTGCTTGGTTCTGCAGATATGCAACAGTGATATCAATCCGACGAGAACGTTACAAGTGCTCTCATCTTTACTCATAGTAAAGCGTGCAGCAACAATTATAGCAAGGATTACCTTTCTTTCAAATAGATGAAGGACGCTATGATCAACTAGGAACTTCCGGAGAAGTCCAAGTACTGATTTTAGGGCATTGAGGACCTTGAGGGAAGCACCACGTATCTCCACAATTCTTTCAACCACCATCTGATTGCTCAAAAGGTCGTCTAGAAAAGTAGATCCAGTATCATGTGTTACATCCAGTGATCTAGATTGAATTCACAACAACCAAAACGAGATCAAAATTGAAAAGCTGGCAAAAAGGTATACGCTTGAATAAGGTGAAAAGTATGTTGTGGGGCTTCTAAAAATGTAACCTACCAGGCAGGCTCTTTACAGTGTGCAAAAGAATCTCCATGGTATTAGTAGCAACAAATACCAGATTGAAATCAAGTTGCTTCTCTGTCGTAATGAATATTTCAGTGATTTATGTATCATGGAAGGGACAATCCAATCTAGTTCGATTATACCACTGATATATAGGGATGCAATGCAATGTGGAAGCTTATGTGACTTCTGGTCTCAATATTTTATAAAAGTGGGGGAGTTTAATTTTTCAAGTGATAGGGTCACAACAAAGCATCTGGTTAACTGATTGGTGTAAATCCCTTAAGCAACCACCATTTTCTACAAGGGTCACAATACACAATTTGGTTGAAAAATCGGTGTCAACCAACGAAACCAAGTATTCTCATGCTAACAAGTTAGATAACACAAGAACAAGAATCCTATCAATTGCACTCCTTCTTCAGTGATGAAACAGAGTACGTTCTACTATTCTAGTGAACAGGGCCGGTGCTAGTAATTTCTGGGAGAAGGCAGGTGCTACTTTTCAGAGAAGGTTGGTGCTACAACACAAAGTTGGGAAAACAGTCCAATAGTTTTTCTGGATTTTTCTCAGCAAAAAGAACTTGACATCAAGTACAGGTGGACTCTTGTACAAGAAATGATGGATCATAGAAGTTAGGGACACCACGTTTGCTTTAGAATGCCCAGGTATACTCCCTTGTTTCCACATTCAAGTTATACATCCAAGATCGAAACCAATGTTAATAATTTATAGGTAACAAAAATGACTGGCCATTCTACAAATCAAACTGGAAATGCATCACATAATACTTGAGTTGAAAATGTATATACCTTTTCAAGTTACACATCCAAGAGCGAAACCAATGTCATTAATTCATAGGTAATAAAAATGACCAGTAATTCTATGGATCAAACTGGAAATGCATCGCATAATAGTTAACATGAAAATGTATAACCGTGTACCTTGATCTATAATCCTTATGGTAACACCAGTAGTTTCTTGCATTAACTTGATCATGGTTCCTTGCTTGCCAATTAAGTGCACCGCTTGTGCTTTAGGAACCAGTAATCTAGCGCAACAAATTTCTGGTGCAGAAGCAGATAATGTGACATCAGGATTGATCCCTTCTATATCATTTACATGCTTGAAGATCCTAACTGTAGCATCCATAGCAGGTGCCAGTTCTGCTTGTGTTTCTTCTGTTGCGGATATCAAGACCTAAAGAGGAGGTATAAAATTAACAAAATGAATAAGAAAATACAAACAAATGATCTAAGTTTAACCTTTTTTGTTCTTTTCTATGTACTCACAATAAGTACCACCTCAACATGCCACGCTAGAATAGAATCCTCCTGTTTTAAAAAGCTTATGCTTACAAGACTGAGAGTAATTTTCAGTTATTTCAACTTCCCTAACACATGGCCTTAGTAATGGCTTTGTTCCTATGGTTGCAAAAACTGTTAAACTAAAACAACAAACCCAACAGATAACATGGCCAAGACTTACCAAAGTAGAGATTTCTTGTAGAACAATTAAATTAAACAATAAGTCACTTATCTATTAAATGCTAACAAAAAAAGGTCATTGAACAATTGGAATTATAAAGCTAACATTGATGCCACTGTTTCGTCCATTTCATAACCAAATTAGGTTCCAGAACAAGTTAAAAAAAGGGTTCCAAAACTATTAGGATAGCGTTGCAAGATGACAGTAACAATGTGCCGATGGCCACAATGCACAATTCTCAAGAGAACATGGAAATGAGTAACCCAAACCAGGGCAATGCTGGCACACAATTGCTGATCTACATGTCGAGAGCTGCTTGTGGAAGACCCATGGTAACGCCACAGTCCAATGTACAATGAGCATACACAAATCGCAAAGTAATTTCTAGATTAGCTAGCTTATATTGCTAATCGATCGTTGTGACCACATGAGACCATGAAATTCATGCTCCACGCGCCCAACCGCATACTAAGCATGGCACAAGCGACTCAATTTCTAATCCCCGATGTCCTAACCACCACCATCGAGCCATAAATCCTAACATGAATCAACCAGAATTCCGGGGTAGGAGCCTTAAAATATGGCCGGTGACGCCGCCCGTGGTCTCGCGGCCGCGGACATGGGTCTCCTTGCAGAGGCGCTGGATGATCTCAAGTCCCAAGAGAACTTGGAAATGAGCAACCCAAATCCCCCAATACCAGGAAAATTTGAGCTGGTATTTTGTCCCAAATCCCTCAATACCAGAAAAATATTGGGGAAAGGGGAGCCGTTGGAGATGCTCTTACAGTGAGCATGCACAAATCCCAAAGCAATTTCTAATTTAGTTCTCCTTATTAACCTGGAGAGGTTGTGACCACATGAGACCGTAGACAGTCATGCTCCAGGCGCCCAATTTCCCGTGCCCTAACCACCGCCATCAAGCCATCGACCAAAATTACAGGGAAGGAGCCTTACAATCCGGCTGGAGACGCCGTCCGCGGCGTCGAGGACGCGGACGCGGGCGCGGGTCACCTCGCAGAGGCGCTTGACGATCTCGCCCCGGCGGCCGATGAGACCGCCCACCTTGTCCCCGGCCACGACCAGCCGGAACACGCTCGCGCCGGGAAACCCGGGCCAAGGCGCCGCCTTCTGCCCCTCCTCCGCCGCCTCGGACGCCGAATTCGTCGGCGCAGGCGGCGACTGCGGTGCCGGCGGCGGCGGCTGCTCCGGCTCCGTGTCGGGGGAAGGGCTCCGCGGCTCGGGCGCCGGGTGCTCGTCCGGCTCCGAGTCGGAGGAAATCCACGGCTCCACCTCCTCAGGGTCCTCCTCCTCCTCCTCGGCTACGTAGGCCATAGCGTGGCGGGCGAAGTCCTCCGGCGGCGGTGCCGCGGTCGCCTTCGACGAGGGTTTTTGGGAAGGACAGTGGTCAGTGGGACACGAGTGTGGACTGTGGGCTGTGGACTGAGCGAGTGAGTGCGAGGTTTCTAGCAAAATGCGCAGTAGTACAAATTTCACAAGTTAAGCCCACATCATAAATCGAGAAATAAGATCGACAGTCATCCTCCCGCCTCCTCACCGCTCGGGATCCCATGGCCGTTGGATCGGGTGGCTTGATCGGATCTGGGCCGTCGGATCAAGCCGCTGGAGGACCACAGCCGTTAGATCGAATCGGAGACACTATTGCAATGAACAGTTACCACCAGCGGCTGCCACTGCGTGTAAATCGAGCGCCCCGTTGAGGGCATTATCGTCATTTCACACGCAGCCATATAAAACGCAACCCCTCCCGTGGAGATAACCTTGCCATCGCCTCCTCCCGCACTCGCGCGCCGAGCTCCTCCCATTCCCTAACCCTATCTACTCCCCACGCCGCCGCCGTCTCGTTCCTCCAGCCTGCCGGATCCCCGCCATCCACTTCCCCGGCGGCGTCGCCGTCGTCCTTGCGTGCACACGGCAGGAGGGGCGTGGGCGTCGCCATCGCGACCGTCGTCCCTTCTCGCTGCCGCCTCCTCCCTTTCCTCTATCCCCGCCCCTGCCGCGAGCCCCTCTTCCCCATGTCGTCGGCCTCCTCCTTTGCCGTGTCTCTCCTCGTTGGTCGTCACTGTAACACCCCAAAAATTTAACCATGATTTGTTTATTAAAATTTTGCCAGGAGATTAAAAATTTTACTTTCTGGATTTTCTTTTGATTTCAGAACCTCTCTTTTCTTTAATATTGTGGAGTTTTTACCCCAAGTAAAAACTTTCCAAAATTATCATTGGACTTGTATACCCTCTCAAGAAAAACAATTCTTTTATCAGTGGATTTATTTGCATAATTGTTTTTCCTGAGCTTTATTCTTTTAAAATGATTTTTCATAAGTTTTGGAGCCTCTTTTGCACTGCAACCATTTGATAAATGCATTTAAAATTTTCACCAAAATTTGGGTATGTCATGTGATGTTATTAAATCACTCTGATGCAAAAATATCTTTTATTCATTGGAGATTTTAAGCTCTATCCCTAGTTTTCAAAACTGGTCCAGTTGGTAAAATTTCACTACAACCTATTTAAATATTTCTTTAAAACTTCCACCAAAATTAGGGGATGTTAGTAGGAGTATATTATTCAACTTTATGCAAAAACCCATGAGTGTTCTTTGAAAATTTTGAGCAAATCATCCTCTTCTGCTCTCTGGACCAGATTGGCTTTTTCTACTGCAATCCTAATTTATTTTGCTCTAGTGCTCATGATCTTTCTCCTGCTTATAGTCCATCCTACAAAACCCTTAAGTCCAGGAGAGTGGACCCATTGGAGTATTTTTGGTCCATGCAATGATAGCCTTTAGTTTCTGTCCAGTTTTGGTTTTCTCAAAAACTTGCACTAACAAGTTTCTATCTTTGACAAACTAACCTTGCCACCTTCTTTAGCATCTAAAGAGACTATGATCTGGAGTTTTTGGCCACCCCAAGAGATGCCTAGATGCCCATGACATTCTGTCGAGCACTCTGTGTGCATAGCCAGATTTGGCATGATTTTTAGTTGGCATTGTGAGCTTGATCCTCTGACCTAACTAACTTGTCCACTAAGCTCCTAGCTAACCCTAAACCAGGCCTGTCAACTACCAGCATCATCCGAGCTCTCTAACACGCGTTGGAATTTCGTCGAGCATCTGGCGTGCGTGCGCTGGGCGCGCCCAGAGCACGCGTTTTGCACGTGCATGCGCCCGGGTCGCCGCGTCTGGCCCCTGGCCTTTACTCACCTGCAGATCCACGCCCGTCCTCAACCACTCACCAGAACCCTCCAGGCCGCCCCTGGAGCCCCACAGCGCCGCCGTCAGGTCGGCCACGGCAGCTAGCGGCCGGCCATAGCAGGCCCCGGCCGTGGCAGCGCCGCCCAAGCCACTCCAACATGCCAGCTGCCCTCTGGAGCAGCTCAAGCTCATCCGCAATCTCGTCCACTAGCGCACGTCGCCGCCACGTCGCCCTGCAACTACAGAACGGCGGTTCGTCGGGGTTCTTATCCACGGCCGTGGAACCGACCTAGTTACGCTACAAATGGAGACCCCCGAGCTCATCCAAACCCCAGGCAGCCTCAGGCCATCCCTCTGGAGCGCCCCTAGCCCGCAATCAATGGAGGAAGGCTTTCTTCCTGGACTCTGATCAGTTCGGCCGCCGCCACGCTCCGGCTCCATTCGTCGCGAGCAGGCACTCCCCCGTCCTTCCAGCACCACCGTTCGACTCCCCATGGCCTTGCGGAGCCGCCCAACCTCTCAAACACGATCAGGAACCACCATAGCCCGAACCCCCAAATCCTCCCGACGCCACCTCCGCCACGGAGCTCGCCGCCGGCGACTCCGTTCGTCCCCGCCAGCCTGTCGACCACCGGGAGGACCGCCCTAGACTGGCGGATCCATCCCCGCCCTCAGAACCCCTGGGGAACCGCCGTCCGTCGATGGTGATCGCCAGAGCCCCGCCCCCGCTCGGGCAGAGGAGAAAGGAGGGAGGGGCGACTGGTCAAACCTGACCAGTGGGCCCAGGGGACCCACTGTCAGTGACCACGAACCGGTCCACGCTGGATTAAGTGAAGGCGTAAACTCAGAGTACGTCTTCGACGTGTTTTTATTTCGAAACGTTTTTTTTCTGTTTTATTTAAAAAACAGAAATTTGACTAAACTTTGACTGGCTATAATTTTTTAAATATAACTCCAAATGAGTTGATTCTTTTTCCTACCTCTCTCAAATTTCACCTAGTTTATTTTAAGATTTATTTAAAAAATAATTAGGAAAACTTTTTGTACTGTTTTTTTTAAAGTTTGTGTTAATTTGAATATTTTCAAAAATAGGATTTTGAAGAAGAAGGCAACTTTCAAAAGTTTGGAATGCACCCTGCCTCTCCACAACTTGAAGGCAAGCATTCTGAACCCTGGCATAATATTGTCGTGTGTTGTTTGATACGGTTACAACACCCCTTGTCTCGGAGTTTTCGTTATTTTATGTGATGATATGAACATACTCATAAGTGCATATCGATGATTCCGTGCTATTGGAATTTGATACGTTGCGATAGCAATCACCCTCATATGCCTTTCATGCCTATCGGAAGAAATCCGGGAAAGCCTCTGTCTTGGGTAGACACGAGCTTGTCTCCGGTCTTCGTCGAGACGGTTGTGTCCGGTATGGCATAGTAAGGTATGATGAGTGGTGATTCTGTCTGTTGGTTGAAATATATTTGTTATGCTAATCATGTAGGGAATACTTGAACCCTCCTGAGTCGACAGTAGATCGAGTCTTGTTCCAGTAACCCCCATACTTGTTTCGTACTACCACTTGTCCCTGCCATAGGTAGGGTACGGTTCAGTAAGTTGTCAACCCCTTTCTAGCACACACCGTACAGAGAGGCCATGATGGAAGATACTGGCTGCATCCGGTAGGCATGCCACCTGGTCCGGGGGCATGGGTGTTTTCGGTTGTAGCCGAGGGGGTAGCTCCCCTAGTTTGCGCGCGTTATAAATTTTGTGATCCCATGCTACTCGAGGTTGTAGCCTCCCCACTTAGAGTTTTGCTTAACGAGTGTCGTGGGTGATTCCAGACACCGATAAGTCAGGCTGGTGTGTGCGGTTAGGTGTGTTTTCAACTAAAAGACCGTAGACGGAATTAATCCCGATGGACTAAAGGAATCCGTTACCCGTGGGTAAAGAGTACACCCTCTGCAGAGATTATATCTATTCGAATAGCCGTGTCCATGGTTAAGGACTACAGTCTGGGTTGGGTCAAGTGTCGGTCTTAGTGTCGGTCTTGGGAGGAAAAAGAAAATTTGCTAAACCAGAACATGGATCGTGACTTGTGACTCATGATGGTTATGATTATTGTTATTATGCACTAACCATTTACATTATTTGAATTATTGAGTATCCCTGGGACGGTTCTACCTCCTGGATATTCACTGTGATTATTTTCTTATAAGCCCTTTATGTGGTGTCGCTCAGACGCCCGATTGGGGCATGCTTGTTATTTAAATTATTTATAAGCCCTTTATGTGGTGTCGCGCAGACGCCCGATTGTGGCATGTTCGTTATTTAAACTACTTATAAGCCCTTTATGTGGTGTCGCTCAGACGCTCGATTGTGGCATGTTCGTTATTTAAACTACTTATAAGCCCTTTATGTGGTGTCGCTCAGACGCCCGACTGTGGCAGGCTTATTATTTAAATCATTTATAAGCCCTTTATGATGGTATCGCTCAGACGCCCGACTGTGGCATGTTTGTTATTTAAACTACTTATAAGCCCTTTATGTGGTGTCGCTTAGACGCCCGACTGAGGCATGCTTTAAATTATTATTCTTTTGAGGTGTCGCTTCAGACACCCGATTGGCGCATATTATTTCTACTCCATTATTGCATGTTCATGTTGTATATAAATAACTCTGCTTGCGTGCATCATGGATTGTTATTTTGTGACTGACGTCGTGACCCTAGAATAATTCAGAGCATGATTATCATTTGTTATATTATATCTGTGTTCACAATGTTTGCGAGTACATTCAAAAGTACTCACTGGCTTGTCCCTGGCTATTGTCTTGGCCAGATTTCTTGCATGGAGAGGAGCGTTGCGATGACAGCCCGGGAACATACGCAATGGCGATAGCAGCCTCGCGAAGATAGGAGTTATCCTGATCAGCTGTTTCTGTGGGAAATGGAGTCCCATGGCCACTGATGAACCACAAACCACTTCCGCCAGCAACCACTAGAAACCATTTGTTGTACTCATAGGCCAGAATGGTTCTGTACCACATATTTTGTATTTTGCTTGGAATTTCTGTATCAAGTTGGTGCCTCATCAGCTAACAGTAATCCTGGGGCTGGTGAGCACAAG